GCGAGGACCGCGGTGCGCGCCGGCGCCGGGACGCAGACTGCGCGGCGGCGACCGAACTGTTGCTCCAGCCCGTAGGTCTGCGGAGCCGCCTCGGAGGCCGGGAACGCTCGGGCCAAACCGCAGGGCAGGGCTTGGCCGACGAGCGCGGGGCGCGCGGAGGAGCAGCCCGAAAAGCCTGGCAGCGCGTTTATCAGCGGCACAAGTCGGACTTGCGCGTCTCCCTAGCCAGGAGTTTTGGGGACGGTGCCTCCTTGAATTTGGGGGTGTGGGCTCCTCCTGTGACGGCAGGGAGCGGTGTGGACGCCAGCGGGCTCTGCGGTTGAACCCGAAAGTGAAGTTGGGTCACGTGGCTGAACGCGCTTTCCCTGCTTTCGGGCGGCCGCGTCCTGCGCGGAAAATCCCCGAAGCCCGCCGTCGTGTGTCAGATGTGCAGACCCGGGCGCTTCTCCTCCAAGGGCAGCATCCCCACTTGTCCCCACCTCCAAGTCCGCATGCCTGCCCTTGGTGACTTCAAGCAAATATGTGTCCACAGTAGGTCAGGAAATTTTGAGAAGAAAGAAACCCCATTCGCCCTGTGTATCTCCCCTTCCCCAGGAATACTGCACACCTTCGCAGCTCAAACCCTCAGTTCTCAGGGTCCTGAAAAAGTGTATGTTAGCGCGAGAGTTCGGTGTGTTGGGGAAGAGAAAAAAGTGACCTAAATCCAAAGGAAAGTTGGTAAATCGATAGAATTGTTACTGTAAAAATGTTGAGTGGAACAACTTGCGGGGTTGCAGTAGCTTGATTATGGGCGCAATAGAAGTATAGAAAAACAACCACGCTGACCTGCCACACATCATATTTATTTACCATCAGCCAACATCAAAGTGAAATATGAAGTGACACCCGACTATAAAGCAATGTGCAATAAAATATAACACTTCTATATAATAGTGTCTATTATGCAGCCAATAAAACCACATTTTGAAAAAAAAAAAAAAACAAGAAATTTACAGTCCTGGGGATTGAACTCAGGGCCTTAGCATTGAGCTACATCCTTACCCCATGTATATGTGTGAGACTTGGTCTTGCTAAGTCACTAAGTTGCCTGAGCTGGCCTGGAATTTGAGATCCTCCTGCCTCAGCCTCCCAGAGTGCTAGGACTACAGGCATGTGCCAACACACCACTGCAGAGGTGAAATATTGTTCACAACACCTCAGAATTGCTTGCTAACATAAGTTTTAGACAATCTTTTAAAAATTTAAAATTGAAGAGTGCATTTTGGTAAAAACAAACAAACACATGAATCATAGAATTTAAACAAAGAAAATAAATCCTGGAAGTTATCTAGTAAATCTTATAATTTACAATACAAACCCAGAGAGAGTAATATGAGCCTATGGTCAGTAACAGAACTGAGTTTAGGATCCAGAAACTGCCAATTACAATATGATGACATTGCTACTATCTGAGATGTATTGAGTAAATATGTTTTAAATTCAAATAATAGCTTATTTCCTCCTACCAACAACCCCTTGAGTTTTGTGCTATCCATTCTGTGGGTAGAAAAACTGAGGCAGAGAGATCACATCATTTATCAAGGTTTCTGCTGACAAACTGTTGAGTCAGCATCTGAACCCAAGCGGTCTGGCCTAAACTCCTGAGTTTCGCCATCATGTTGTGCTGCCTTCACTGGACCGTACTTGTTTTGGGTCCCATCGTGTACGAAAGATGAACCAGTGGATCCTGCCAGCCATAAAAAGCATAACATATGACGTACAGACCGGGTATAGTGCACACCTGTAATCTCAGCACTGTGGGAGGCTGAGGCAGAAGGAGCACAAATTCAAGCCTAACCTGATTAACTTAGTGACTTAGCGAGACCCTATCTCAAAAAACTCTAAAAAGTACTGCAGATGGAGCTCAGTGTGAAGGCGCTGTGTTCAATTCCCAGCACCGCAAAATAAACCAATAGGTACATAGACGGACATAAGTAGAAAGAGATGCTAAATCACAATAATTAAATTTCACAGTGCTCTAGAGGTTGTTTTGTGGTACTAAGGACTGAACCTGGGCCCTTTGCACTGAGCTAAATTGTTACCCCTTTTTTATTTTTAATTTTGAGACAGGGCCTCACTAAGTCACGAGTTGCCCAGCTGGGCTTGAACTTGTGATTCCCGTCTGCCAGCCTCCCAGAGTGCTGGGATTACAGGCACAGGCCACCGTGCCTGTTATGGCTCTAGACTTTAAAGGGACTTTGGACAGTATCTAGAATTATCACCTTGCCTCTTAAAACTGTACGTAAACAATCCCACAAAAAAAAACTGCCTTCCATTTCATGGTTCATACAGCAACCTAAGTTAACACATTATTATAGCATTATTTTTTCATCCTTTTAAGCCTTGAAGTATATCCTATTGATTAACCCCAAGTCTGCTTTATAATTTAAAATGATTCTCCTTTAGCCTCAAGATGAGAAAATATTGTCAGACATACATATATGCAAATATAAATAATTGATACATAACAAAGCACCTACAATTTGTGGTTTAAAACCATTGTATCTGTGCTTGATTATATCAGTAGTAATTTGGGCTGACCTTGTCTGGAGTCACACAGCTGCTGGAGTCATCTGGTGGTTTGACTGGGTGCATTTACGACTGGCAGCTGGTTGACAGCTGACTGGACCTCTCTCAGAGCCTTTCCTCCTCAAAGAGGATGACTTGGGCTCCCTGTGTGGTGGCAGCATGCCAAGCCACTGAGGAACCTGCAAGACCTCTTGAAGCCCCAAGCTCAGAAGTTGCACATCACATGTACCACGTGCTATTAGTCAAAGCAGGTCAGACGGCCAGCACAGACTGAGGGCCTGGAGAGATAGATTACCCTTCTCAATGAGAGAAGAAGCAAAGTCACATAAGAAGAACACACTGTAGGAGTCAGAGGAACTATTGAAGTGATATAATCTGTCTGCATAGATTATCAGTAATCATTTCAAGAATGATAACAGCTTATTTAAGCTGTACATGGTTAGTAATATTTTTATAAACAGCAATACAAGGAAATACCAGTCAAATCTACTCTCTAAATTGACATTAGGTTGATCTGGTGGTCATCTATAGACAAACTTTGGCAATTTCTAACTTTTCCCACTACACTTTTTTCTCATTTTGTTGCTTTTTTAAGATTCATTCTTAGTTTCCCATCTGTTCTAATCAGATCATGCTAAAATACAGCATGAAAATCCAACATCCAGTATAGAACATCCCATATACATAGTTCCTATAAGATCTACATACTGTGGATGTAGATAGTTCTCAGACCGAGACTGAGTTCTGAGCAACCCTTGTTCTTGTATTTTACAGTATATAAGTAAACCCACAATAATGTAGGGATGTAATCATGGGCTAGAATACCGGCTGAGAGGATAGAAAGGGCCATGGACAAGTTGCTTTAGAGGAACAAATATTCAACTGCTGATTTGTTTTCAGTTGTATAGAAATAAACAACATAAGATGAAAAAAGATAATGCTTTCCATAAAATCCTTATTTTATATAAATAAAGGGCAAAATAAAACAGTAGAAAACAGGGAGATCTTTTGCAAATAGGAAGGGGACCAAGAGATGGGGGGAGGGAAAGGGATTTAAAAACTTACGATGCATTATGTACACATACCAACGTGTGTGAGTGTAGTAACTATGTACTTCAAACATATGCTAATAAAAATTTTACAAAATTTTAAATGTTTATTTTAAAAGAGGATAGAAGTAGGGTTGCCGCCCTAGAGATACCCTGCTTACTGGGAATCCCCGGCGTGGTGTTTCAGTTTAGATTTAGCATGTACCCCCAGAGTCTCATGTGTGTGGAAGGTGGTTGGACCACAGGGCCCTGTGCTCATGAGTAGATTATTTCAGAAGCTAACTGTGCCGGGAGGAGGCGGGGCCCAGTTGGAGGTGGTCCCTGGGGCGTGGCCTGGAATCGCTGTCCCTGGCTCCTCCCCCTTCCTTCTCTGCCATCACGTGAGCAGCTTTCCTCCCTGTTCGGCCGACCACCATGCCTTCTCTGTATCTGAGACAACCAACCATGGACTGAAATAGGGAGCCAAAGTAAACGTCGCCTTCTGGAAGTTGTGGGTGTTATTTCGTCCAGCAGGGGAAAGTGATGAAGACACAGGGCCTTGTACTAAAGGCACATTGCTGGCCATGCACCATGCTGCTTTGGGAGCACTAAGCCATACCTTCCAGGTCTGTCATTCAATGTATTTCATATAGCATCTAAGTGAATTCCATGGAAAATAGACGCTTTTTGTTACAATCAAGTTTTTTTTCACCGTAAGTCTGCATTACTATACCAAAAACTGATAATAAATTCATTACTAAATGCAGACAACGTTCATTGAATCCCTACAAAAATCCTGGGTTAGGTATTATCCCACTTGACCAAAAAAAAAAAAATTGTTTCTGAGCTCATACTTAATCCTAGATCTGAGTTCAGAGCTTGTGCTTCAAGCCACATATACTCTGATAATTCCTAAAAATTTACCTCCAGTTCAAACCTGTCCTTAGATCCTCTAAGTTATATTGCATACTGTCTGTGACAGAAACTATGTGACTCTCCCCAGGCTTCTCCAAATAAGCAGAACCAAAAGTGAGTTTATCTTCTCACTATACCTTCTCTCTCCTGTTTTAATAATAGTGCTGCTATCAATCCAAGTGCTCAAAGTAGAGCCCTTGGGGTCAGAGAGAGGAGCATCCGCAAAGATGCAAAGTAATGAAAATCACTATAGTCAAGGTTTCTTTCACTTATCCTCGACCTGTAACCTAGTCCTGTAAGCTATTATATCAGTCAAACAGTTTCCTTCTCTACACGCACTATCAGTCTTCTAATCCCAAACTTCATCTCTCAGCCGTGGTCTCTCTAGCCCCAATCTTTCCTTCACTCTGATATTCCACACCATCAACAGAATGACAGTTCAAACAGATCTGTTGTTACCACCTGACTCAGAATCCCTCTTGACTGCCAGCTACATTCATAAACAAGCCAAATCTTAACAGGAAGCGTTAGCTTAAAGAACATGTTTTAGAGTGAGAAGAAACTAGGTGTCCTATCTCCATTACTCACTAGTTTTGTGTCTCTAAGCAAGTGAGAAACTCTCCTGAGCTTCACTGGACTCACCAAACTACCTCCAGGATTGTAAGAAATCAGTTCATTCAGAAAATACGCAGAAGGATCTAGAACACAGAGCACAATACATATTATTATACCTGGCATTCCCACAACTCCACGTACTTTATACTCCAAACACACTGGACTTCTTATCCTTTGCAAAAATTAATGAAGCAAAGATTACACTGGGTGGGGCTAAAGTATGGAGTGCAAGGGAATTTTAGAAGAAGATGATGGAGATGTTAGAGGGGGTTACATTGGTGTTTCAGTTCATTAAAATTGTACCATTAATGTTTTTCAATGTATGACATTTAACTTTAGAAAAGGTAAAAAGCATTAGAATGAGGGTGGATATGGGTGGAAGTAGTGAAAATAGAAGAAGGACAGGATGTTAGTAGGTGAAGTTATATGAGTCCATCATTTTGATTAAATGTCTGCTCTGACTCTATCATTACTCTGAATTCCTCAAGAACCCAGACCAAACCTCTCTGTTTGGCTATCATCTAGCACACTCTCTAGTACATAATAAACAATCAAAAGTCACTGAATGGGCTTGAGTGAATGACTTTTCATTTCTATCAGAGTAAGGAAGAAATATTAACAATAGTCATTCTTTTCAATGAATGTAACAAAAAAATTAGTGGGGAAAATTAATTTTAGTGGTTTGATTTAGTTAGGTCTTGGTTTGATATGACACTCATTTTCTGTCTAAGTAGCAAGCATACAAGGACAGTGAAAGGAACTTGCTATAGTATAGAATTAGAAATGCCATAGAACATCTGCCATAATTGAACACTTGAACCTACTAGTCATCATGTAAAGGTTGTTTTCCTTTTC